ACCAAAGCAAAATGTAACTTCTCAAAATAAAAAAAAAGTACTAAACATAAAAGCAAGAAAGACATAAAAAATGATCCCATGTTCGGCCTTCCAAGAGAAAAGGTTGCAGTGTCAGATGTAAATGGTGGATCAAATCATGCCTTGCACTGCGTGGTATAAATCAATATGCAGCAAGTTAACATAATCTCCAGGAGATGTCCGTAAATTTCAGCAAAATCTAACGCTTCGGTGCGAATGCACCACATAAAACGTAGACGTAGAGGGGTGATTTATTTATCACACGGGGTCCCCAGATAATGCTTATCTTGTACGAATAGGGCTTTATTCCAACAGCACTTTATGGGATGAGTCCTACTTCTGTATCACACTTCCCATTGATTTCACTCATAGTGCTTTATTCGGTTCTCCATTTTAATCCCTCTTAAAAACGGATTTCCTTGTTCATTTTGCTCCATGATACTGAAACATTGTTTTCAAGCTTTATTTTTTTTATTGCAGCTGTTTTCATAACATTAACATTAGGAAGTTATTTTGGAAATTGAGAAAAACAAACAGAGAACACACATTATTTCTGCTGAATAAAGTCCAGATACACGCTGCAGGCTAAAAAAAAAAAAAAAAAAAAAAAGAAATTCCAGTTTGCTAAGGAAGTAAAATTTAGTAGTGATGGTACCATGTACTGCATACTGTTCCACAAGCATTGACTAGCTCAAAGATGGACAAACACTTGTTCCGTCTTGTTCTGTCCTGATTACAGCTCAAACATTAAAAATAGCATGCTGATAGCCAAAATACACCTTTTGACCAAGTCTTTGTTTTAGTGGACCTGGTTTCCACAAAACACTGAGGTAGCACAAAAAATGCTTAGCTGATGAAAGCCAACAACAAGTTGAATCCACTGATACTAAACCAATTTGCATTGCACTACATGTTTTGATTTATTTGACTCAAAACATGTAACTTTTCCAATTGCTTGTTTTGTGGACATTAAACTGGCTTCAGATATTACTTAGATGTTGAGGTTTTACATGTAAACATCTCTTGGTTTGTTGTTTTTATTTACCTGGAATTTAGGGCTGAAAAATGTGTTGGATTGATTGCTATTAATCGATAACTGAAACAACTAATTTTGCAATCGACTAATTGATAGTAAGAATTCAGTCTAAAACGTGCCTTTAGCGGACCTAAAGTCAACCTCTTAAAGCAGTTGTTATATCTATATTTTAGAAAAACATTTTGTATTCAGGATGAAAAAATGTTTTGTCTATCAATATGCTCTATCCAGAGGTCATCAAAGGGAACAGTTTTAGCTTCACTTGGTTTAAATTTGGTGTAAATATTTCTTTAAGAAACCTTTTGCTATCTAATTATTAATCAATTATTTGAAAAAAAGAATAAACAGATTATTCAAATAGCAAATTAGTTGTTAGTTACAGCCCTGGTGGAATTGTTTTTGGGACATTTAAACCTCATTTACTCAGGTCTAGAATAATATACTGTCTATTTTTACACCCACATCATCCTCCAAGATCTTCCTGTTAGTTGATATTGAGATTAGAGTTTAGGCATTGTACAGTACAAGTTGAGAAATGTATATAAAAGTATGAGTATGCATTATTTAAAAAACGTTTAATCTGGCCAATGCTCCTTCCTGCACATGTTTTCTATTTCCCTTACCTTCTTTGTGTGAAACTGCTAATAGGATTTCTTATTTTTAGAGTAACCATGAGCCTGTTGACTCTCTGTTTGATGTTTAATGCTTAAGATTTAGCTTTACATCCAAACCTTCTTTTAAACTTCTCAAAACCTTAATCCTGAACCTGTCAGCTGTGTCTTATAATCTCAACAATGTTTGTTCGCTTATGTATTTAATAAATCTCTGTGGTTTTCACCATGCATCTGCATTTACTGTATACTAAGGTCATGTTACAGAGAAGTGGACTAAATTGACACATTTTCTGCTCTCTGAAAACAATTTGGTGCAGAGTATTTTATTAATTTTTATAAATAAATGGTAAATATAAATAAATAATTTTTTTTTATTTATTCTGTACGTCTGCTTTTGTCTCCTTGAACCCCATTCAACGCTCACACTGAGCCCGGTTCTGCTGGAGGTTTCTTCCTGTTAAAAGTTCCTCTCCACTCTCGCTACAAGCTTGCTTGGTGTGAGGGATTGGAATTCAAGTCAATTAGTCGATGCAATCAACTCAAACTTTGAACCAATCTGACTGTATGATCTGCTTGAATTGTAAAGTGCCTTAACATGACATGTATTGTGAATTGACACTATATAAATAAACTGAATTGAATTGAGTTTGAACATTAAGGTAAGAAATACCAGTGACATATTTTTATGATCTATATTTCCTAAACCCAATAAAAAAACAAAACTTTGTATCTCAATTACTACTTTGTTTTGGCCCGTCACTAAAACACCTTTAAAGGCATGCAATATATTGGTTGTGATGTGATTACAAATGAAAAAGCTCAGTGGAGAAGGCTGATTGTTCTTTCAAATGCTTCTTCAGATGTTAAGCTGAATAGGAAAAACGCTACACATAACTCCACACTGCTCCACACGTTTCTCTTTATTTCCAGCAGCAGAAATGCATAAACATGTGCTTTCTTGATCACTGCTGGGCAACTCCCAGGTGAGCCCATTAATCACATGCTTATTTAATATTTATCACAGATGCTGCCTAAAATCATCATTATGATTTGTAATATACACTTTCATCCTTTCTTCTTCCTGTTTACTTACTCAAATGCTCTCAATAAGATAAATAAATAGAGAAAACACATACCTATAAAAATGTGGAGGTGTTGTAACTTTGATCATCTTATAGGTTATAGGTTAGAATGTTGATTTTTTAAATATAGGTAAACCTGCATCATATTCCCCCAGATTGATGAGTTTGAAAAAAATATAATAGTATCACAGTTTAGCGATTTACAACAGAAAAAGTGCAAAATAGTCTAATTGCTTCAGCTTCTACTGAAATTTTATGGCACATTAAACACCTGTGAAATTGAATTAAGGTTTTTACATGTTTATTCTGTCGGTCATACTCATTTTGAAGCGTTTCAAACTGCTGTTATCACATTTTAGGGATTTTAACCAAGTGGACTGAATTTTTACTTTATGAAACGGTAACTTTATAAAACTTAGTTATACATTCATACCTGCAACTGCGCTATGTTTTAGCACAGGTTTAAAAAAGAATTCTGACTTTCTCGTTTCTTTGTATTTGGATGATAAACCATTCAGTTTTAAAATGGTGTGGCTTTAAAAAAAGAGTTGTCATTCTAAATGGGCTTCCTGGTAGATTAAAGGTTAAAAACAAGAGTTCTAATTATTGAAAGAAAGATGTTAAGTACTCAGCTTAAAAAAGATGAAGTCTTTAACATTCTTAATGTGAGAGCCCATTCTGGAGGTTCATGCTGCTGACAAGGTTCAAAAATGTGATAGACAAATGGAGCCAAAATCCAGAGAACTTTTGGACAGCATAGGAAGATGATTGACATTGTTTGCCAAGCAGGGCAATGATTTTTGACAGGACCACAGTTTGAGATTTTTAGATTGACTCCCCATAAGAATGGGACTCTGTCCTCTATGAAAGCAAAATTAAACACCCTAAGCTCGGAGCTGGAGGGGAAAGTTAAAAAGTCTTTACTAAATAGTGGACTTGTTAATACATTATGAGCAGTTAATAGCGTACATATAAATGCAGATTAGTTGGATTTTTTATTTTCATGTATGTTTTTGTATGAGCCACCATCTTGAATCATCTTCCATATCCTATATGTATTCACACACTAGAAGCTTGTGAGTAGTGTGCAGTCTTCCACCCTCATTTCCTAGGTAAACAATAATAGGCTTCTGTGTAAATCCTTGAAAACAACCCAATTTACTTTAATGTATTCTGTATGTATTTAAAATTTGAATACTATAAAATCAATAAACTAACTGAATATCTACACCACATAAAAAAGTAAACTAGTATTTCATCATATTTTAAAAAATACTCCACAATATTTCAATGGAATATATTATTGGAAAACATACTTTAAGTGACATTTATCTATATTTACATGAGTGGATTCATTGCTGACTGCACCGAAACTGCTTGTGAAGTAAGAAGTGTACAATTAAGAACTTTCAGAATATTTTTAATTAATGTATAATAAATTTAAATAGGAGTATCGTAATTGTTTCAGGCTTATGAATGCTATTTGGGTCATATTTAAAAGGATAGTTCAGATGTGCTATTTCGATTGGGTAAATAACCAAATAATTTGAATATGACAATGTTTAAAATGTTTACAAGAGTGTTATAAACCACTTTGGTGTTTCTGGAGTTGGTTTAAGATGGCAGACATCTCTTGTGGTCTTTTCTGCTGTTGGACTAGCATTTAGCTTCAGCTGCAATTAACCAACTAATCTGTATTAAGGGAAAATTAAATTAATTAAAAATTATTTAAATTAATTAAGATTAAAAAACATTTTGATATTTAATAAACTAGCCCTTTAAGATAAAAAAGCTTAGACAAGTTTCCACTTTGCAGATGGCAACTATTTTTAGCCTACTATTTCTAAAACTTATTTGGAACCAATCCATCCATTGTATTACTTTCAAAAAGTGACAATACTGTAAATGGTTGCTCTCTCAAATAATTCAGTGGGAAAACTTAGACATACAAAATTTCTACAATTTGCGCTGTAAGTCAAAGAGTTTAGCAGATAAGAGATTCTATAAAACTCCTTTCAATGACAGAATACCCCTTCCTTCATTTATAAAATTATGCAAAAGACTATATGAACATTATAAAAAAAGAAGGGTATTTCACAGTTTTAATTAATAGGGGTGGAGCTAATATGTCGAGCTGTAACTCATTATGGTTATCATTATTTGGTGATTATTTTCTCAGCAGGCAGATTTGCCTAGTTCAACCCTCCTCAGTCCTGTTCGGAGAGATTTAACTTTAAATTAAAAACTCACCATCTTCAGTGGGCACATAAATGTTGAGGTAAAGGCAGTCCTCGCTCTGGTTCTGAACATAGGTCGCTGCTGCATCCAGGTTGTCCGTGAACCAAACCGGCAGCATGATCTCTGGTAAAACCCCATGCACATTCTGGGGGCACACCGGTGCAAACTGGGTGGTGTTGCGTATCTCCTGCCAGGAGCCCGGGGCTTCAGGGGGTTGGAAGCGCCGCTCGCCGATGGGTGCAGTGGCATATGGCACGCCTAAGAACTGTTCCACCGGGCCTAAGATCTCATTGTTTAGCTCTTTTCTGATTCCACGGACCTTTCCATACCCAGTTGAAACTATTGGATGTTTCAGGTCGATACGCTGAGAGGAAGAGAGAGTCAGGTGCAGCACTAGTCCCAAGAGCCACATCAGACAGGGTTTGGAGGTCGGCTGAGAAGTATCCAGACGCTTCCCACCGTAGCCGTGGTGGCTGGCAGCATTGATTGGAAAAATGAACATTTCCAAAATAAAACTATTGGACTCAGATCACAGGGACTGCGGCTGGGACAGAGGGAGGATCAAAGACCCAGGAGGTTATAGGGGAACAACAAAGGCAAAAGGAGGAATGGTGGAAGGGGGGCAGTTAAATAGGTTTCTATAGAGACATGGTGAAGTAAGGGGGCACGGAGCATTCTCAGTTAGATTCTGTGGGTTCATCCGTCAAGCTCTTTTAAAATAAGTCCAGCGCTGCAGTCAGGACACCACGTAAACCTGAAAGACACAGAAGGGTTGAAGATTGATGTAATTGTGCTTGAAAAATTGTGCTCCCAGAAATATTATGGTTTTAAAGGGCTTCAGCAAAGACCAAATAAAACAAAGGATCAGAGAGATGGAGAAACACCCGAAACATCAAAAAGCTATGGATAAAACATTAAGATGAATTAAAAATGTAAGTTAGAATTTTATAATAATTGTAAAAGAAAAAAACTGTGAGTTGGTAAAAACTCTCAAAGGAAAAATATGTTGAAAAATATATTTCCAGCTTTTGGAACAAAAAGGCAATCAAACATTCTGCTTGAAAAATTCTGCCTAATAATCCATTACCGTCACTGTTTGAAACTTTATCTGTTATAAGTTACCAACATAAGACAGCATCTTACAGGGTCCGGTTCATTTCAACCCTACATTGTTTATGCAGTTGTAGTTTAACTTGTTTTGTATGAGGCTCTAAAATACCCCCTCGCATGAAATCTTGAATACTTGCTTTAACAATTAATTTAAAAAAAGTAACTTGCCCAATTCTGTAAAAATTAACAAAAATTATCCACTGGACTTGGTTTCCAAGATTTGAAGACGTTTCCCCACCTCTCCAGGAAGCTTTCTCAATTCAAATGATCCAGACATTTGAATTGAGAAAGCTTCCTGGAGAGTAGGCGAAACGGCTTCAAATCTTCGTAACCAAGTCCAGTGGATATTTTTTTTTTTTTTACGGAATGACTATGACCTGGATGACTGAGAATCTTCATCAGCATAACTTCCCAATTCTATTTAAAAGTCTACTATAAAGAAATCATAAAGCAGATGGGGGATTGCAGACTTGATGGCTTGGTATTTACTCCGAAGTCACGAGATTCAGTATGCTCAATTAAAAACAGAACCTTGATAAATAAAAATGGAGTTAAGCATGAAATTTAATATCCTTTAATGAAAAAAATATAAAAACCAAATGTTATTTCTGACTGTCTCTTTGTCCATATGTAACCTCTTTTAATTCATGTTCATTTTGTTCTCATAAACTTTCTTTTTGTACTGGTAACCAAACCAACCAATCATGTTAAAGGTCTACTCAACTTTTATGTGCCATTTAATTGATTTTATATGTGACAGATTGGGATAACTGATCAAGCAAAAATAACTTCTAGCAACATCCTGCTGGGAGATAATCATCCATATATAGATAAGAGTCATATAAGTAAAAAAAAATCCTTACAGTTATATAAGTAGGTTATAGAGAGGTAAATCATTAGTTATCAAAATGAAACCCTTTAAAAAAATAGTCTCCTGATATGTATGATGCTCAAAATGATGCAGAAAATTCATAACCATATGCCTTAAAGAAACAGGTTTACCATCTGTCTCTCTTTGGGAATTTACTTCATGGTTATATTAGTAAGTAATACAATACCAGTTTCAAAAAAGTCATATTTTTGTTTAGTGCATATTGCTTTTACGTTGTACAAGTGTGGGAGGCTTTTTCTTTGACTGTGATTTAAGATTACACCAGGAAAGTTTAACAAGGTCCATAACAAACTTTTATTTAAGATGTGACTCAACTGAAAGATCTACTGACAGGAAGCAAAAAGTTATATATACACTTGATATATACACTCACACACACACAATAAACAAATAAATCTTCAAAGAAGGAGAAGCCCAAGCACCTTTTCCAGACATTCCCACTGTGTGAGAGTTTCCCTCTCAAGTTAGTTCTGCTGCTTCTTGTTTCTACGTCATTACAGATAAATGGGCTGTGCTTATCACAGTCTGGCTTTGGGAGTCGGAGCCATTTAGGTGAGATAAAGGCTTTATATGGTGGTAACTGTTGGTTAAATGCCACCTCATCCCTCCGCCCTCGACCCTGCAGTGTCCACATCTCCATTTTCAGTCGGCTAGTACATGGAAGGACCCTCAAATAGAGCAAAGACTGTGTGTAACATCAGAAGGTAATGGTAAATTTGCTTTTGTAAGTGGTTCTCTGCTTCTTGTGTACTGATATTATGATTTAAAAATGTTTAATTAAAAGCATTTAAAAGAGTAGAGTAAAAGGAAAGACAATATGGGAATATATATATATATATATATATATATATATATATATATATATATATATATATATACCAAAATATGTTGATTCATTTGTGAAAAGGTGAATAAGTCACATTAAAAATAAAACACAGAAAATGTGATTGTTGTTGTATATATCATTTGTATTCTCAGTTATCGTGGTAAAGGCAATCACAGCACAGGCTTAAATTTATAGGTCATAGGAAATCCGATCTTTTGTTTTCTGAAAACACTGAACCCTTGTCAAGTTCTCAGTTTTGGCAACCTGCACAAGAGCAACCTTTAGATGGAGCACTAATGTTTGTAAGCATGAGGAGGTGCATCCTCTTAGTCACAATTCAGGTCACATACAAATGAATGACCCATCCTTCACTCACCTTGGTCATTGGAGTCTGTTGTTTGGTATGAGTCTTGTTCATTCTTATTTTAGTCAGCTGCAAGCCCCCAGCCCTGCTTAGTGTTGGATTTTCTCTTTTAACAAAGACTGAAGAAACATGGAAGATTCCAAACATCTATAAACCTGTCTTGAAACGGATTCCAGTGAAATTACACAAGCAGTCTTGCCATTATTTATCTGCTTGAAGAGCCACCTAACACTGTAGGTAGCATCCTGTATGTAGGATGTGGTCTACACCTGTCACACTCCTTCCTAAAAAGAGACGTTGTTGGATGTGTCCTTATATGAAAAAAGGACTACAGTAATGCTGATTGTCCAACGTTATGAAATCAAGTTTCAAAAATCTTTCTGCATGGAGTTTGTATGTTCTCTCCGTGAATGCGTGGGTTCTCTCCGGGTACTCCGGCCTCCTCCCACAGTCCAAAAACATGAATGTTAGGTTAATTGGCTTTCCTAAATTGTCCTTAGGTGTGAGTGTGTTTTAACATGGTTGTGTATTTTTGTGTGTCTCTGTGTTGCCCTGGAAAAGGCTTCCAACCTGTCCAGGGTGTACCCAACCTCTCGCTTATAGAGAGCCGGAGATAGGCACTGACCTCGCCACGAAAATGGATAGATGGATGGTAAGCACTATTGTTTGTCAACTTATTTTCCAAAGTGTAACCGTCTAACAGGAAATGTTAGAGCACTAAGTGCTTTCCTTTGCTGACAAGCTTTATGGAGACACTGCCAAAAATTTGATACAGATTTTAATGACCTTGGTTTTACTTCCTGGCCAATCAGCATTCTTATAGCCAGCAATTTGGCATGACCTATGAGACTAGAAGCTATCATCATGAGGAAGAAGAAAGACCCCAGAGCCAACGATGTGTACAAGCTGGAGGTTGCCATCAAAGCAATCTGGATGAATGAACACCTGAGCAGTGTCACATGGTGATCTCCTCTATGCCATTAATGAAGTAATTCATGCAAAATGACCCTTGATCAAGTATGGGCTACTTTGATTATTTTACAGTATTTTTTCTATATTTCCCCTTATTTTTTATTTTTTCCCCCTATTAAATATTCAAATGTGAACTTTCATTAATTCAAATGCTTGATGCTGAAAAGTAACATTTCAAGCTTCAGACTTTAACACAACCGTTAATATAGGAAATTAACTGCACCTGCAACCAGGTGCAGAAGGACTTAAGCATGTAAGTCAAAGAGAATTCAAGAAATCTATTGTAAAAGCTGAAGATATTGTATAGAGACAGACTTTAAGGAGGAAAATCTGAAATTCTCATAGCATGAGAATACACACACCCTTAGCTACTAAATAATCCAGCATTCAAACTGAATGCCATAAACAGTAGCAATTGGGAGATCAAATTTCACATAGTCTTCACACAGCTGCTGTTTCTGCTTTTTTTTCCTCATTTAATATTTGTGTACACATTTGGATTTCAGAGGAGCCATCTGTGTTTGCATTCTGCTGGTAAATCTGAATGAACATATGGCACAAGCCCAAGGTCAGAGTACCTTTAGTATGCACAGTAGCTGCAGACACAATCACAGAGGTATGTCCTTTCTTCCGAGATTATAGGCGGGTTAAACGTTTGTTGCCTGTCGCATTGCTATTTGTTTTCCTCACCTTCTCTCATGCACAACGATTTACACGCACATTGCGTGAAGACCAATGATGCATCAACTACTGCATGTCAGAGGAGACTACGATAGGCATAAATTGGTCTGTTTGCAACGTCCAGCATGTGCCTCACAAATACTAGTATCTAAACATCCATAACATCTGTTCCTGTCAACCAACCGTGAGCTGAATCAGTACTGAACGCACATCTATGCACATGAAACGGCATAAACTAGCACAGAAACCAGGGATCTGATGTAAGCCGTTTTCTCTTTACTTTTATATAATAAATGTTTCTGTCAAATGAGGCTGTTGAAGAGTGTAATACTGGCTTTGCAGCAGGATACCAATCCTCATATGGTCTGAGTCGTTAACCACAGGTTAAATAACGATATTTGAAAATGTGTTCTTTTTTTTTTCTGCCAACATTTCAAACAATCAATTCAACTAAAATATATATATATATATATATATTTTAGTTGAATTGAAGAATTATAAGAATATGATCTTTAAACATGCAATAAGTAAACACAGCTATATCTTAAGCAAATAACACATTGGTATGTTTGCACCCTTTTACAAAATCCTTCCAACAGATTTACTTTTTAAGTAAGATTTTATATTCAGACATACTTGGCCCAATATAGTACATACAACATATAGACATACTGTCTGTAATCAATGATTATCTATAATTAAGTACACTCTTTTTTGGCTAAATGAAAAATTTAACCAGGCCTGAAATTATCTAACTTATATCATAAAAAAACCCACACTTATATAGAACTAGAGTGACAACATAAATGAGAGTGAAAGATCATATAAATCAACACTAAATGCCCCAATGTAAACAGCAGGTGAACCTGAAGTCTTCAGCCTTTAAAAAATAAATCAAAAGAAAATGAT